TGATCTTTGACTGATTGAAATGAAATAATTCCTCATATTAAATTTAATAGAAGTTTCGCTGACCTGTTGTTCCAAGGTCCAAGGAAGTACATTTCGAACTGGCAGCGCAGGACAATTATCGTTCTTATTCTTCGTCAAAATTCTTGCCTATCTTTGCCGGGTTCGTGACATCCATTAAATTGGGGCTGTTGCTGTTGGCAAAGAAGTCATTCGTTTATTTCCTATTATTATTCATGCTTATTTAGTTTGTCCCAGTCCTCCATATTATGATTGAACGATTGGGGTTCGAAAGGGTTAGGGTTATATCTCAGGGAGGAAGACATCCGATTGTGTTCATTGGAAAGTTCAAGATTTATTATTTAAAATTAGTCGCTGAAAGACGATATCATGCCACGAATAGTACTGTTTACATTAATACAAAATGAACTGTGTTCATCACTGTACATGCGAATCATGGGAAATCGGACTTTTCAACAACTGGATTAATGAAGCAATGGAATTTGATTGCGTTGCAGTCCATGGAAATGCCTGCTGAAGCTCGTATGAAGGATTTACTGTAGAGCTCCTTTGGAAAAATATATGTGAAAAACAAAAATAGATCTCTTGGATTTGCTGCGTGGCAAGCGTTGTGAAGCAATCACCGAAAGAGTGAGCTGGAGACTTGATTATTTAGACCGTTATTACATATGCTACTGCCAAATGCGACCGTTGAATGGGTCACGCCAACCGTTAAACTGCTGAACGCAAGCCACCGAGTTTTGAAACAGGTCTAAGTGATTTTTTAATTGCTTTTAAGATGCAGATGAGCAGCTCAGACAAATATAGCCGAGGTTGCTTATGTGTACCACTGAAGAATGCACGTAAAAACGAGCTTCTGTTGCGTTGCTTCATACCGTATTCTAATACACTTTGCAGTTTTTCTAATTCTTGTTCCTGTTTGGTTTATGAGCTAGCATGGATTCCAGAGCCTTTGGCGCTTCGTTGGAGAGAGTCCAACTATGTAGAGTTGGCTCCTTGTATAACTTCTGATCATAGTTTCCTCTGCGTTACGAGATGTTGCAACTTCTGACTGTAAGTTGCGTCTGTCGGTATCATTCCCACGGAGCCTTATTGTACTCAGGGTCTGTTAGAAAAATACTGTAGAGTACCTTAGCTTTCCTGCTTATTGATGGTAATTCTTTCGATGTTCTACTCTGTGCGGTGTCACACACACGTACACGCAGCTTGAAGAGTTCTGTTTATGATTTTGGACTATTTCCATAAAAGTTCCTTTTGCTTGTGATGATACGATGGCACGTTTGCTACTGGAAGTTCTCTTTTATTACGAAGTCTATAGTCATTTTTTATTCGTATTGATGTTGATCAGTTGTTGAAGTTTACATTCATTATTTTTTAGCCATGCGTGAAAAAATAGTTGAATATGAACTGAAAGTTGCAGAACTCGGTCCCGAAGCTGCCGCGGCAAAGGAGTCGGAAATCAGCCGGCTCCGGGCAGAAATGGAACATCAACGCGTGGTGTTCAACAATGCTGAATCCTCTTTTAAGGAACGGGCGCAAAATCAGGTGATTTGTAGCGGCTTATGCGGCATCGCTTGGTAAACGTCGAATTTTAGCAAAGAATTCTCGAACAGTCTCAGCAGCTTTTACGGGCGCAAGCTGAACAAATAAAGCGGTTTAGCAAAGAGGTGGCGGAGTTGAAGTTTCGGCTTGGACCGAAGACCTATTTCCGGTAACCTGTGGTCTGTTTCATTTCTTGCATAATCGTTTCAAATAATTTTTCACTCCAGCAAGATCCAGTGAATTCATAAGAAAGAGTTCATTCATTCACGGCACAAATTACTATCATGCCCATTGATCTTACGAAACGCTTTCTGTAGAGAATAAGCTGTTAATGAATCTTTATGCCCGGCGTTGTGATCAGAATGTTAGTTTCCTAAACAGAATTGCTTTAAACCACAAAGGGTTCTGTAATATCTGGTTTGTGCTGTACCAGAATTGCAACAGTGAAAATAAATTACTATATGAGAAGAGTACGGTTTTTACAGGCTAGACCGCACCTGTCAATATCATTAGGTATACAGTTAACAAAAATGATAAATGGAATAAGCACAGAAATTGGCAAAGACAACAATTCAGTGATCTTTCTTTGTAAGTAATGGGGATTATCATTGCCCAGTATCGATGCCCTGTGCGGTTTGTCGCCACAAATTTCCATATCTCCTTTTTTAGCTCATCGCCCCGTATGAACCAAGATCTTCCGAATGAATGCTTGCAGCTCTTTGGTTATCAATCCGTCACTCCTGAAGTTTCGGTCATCTGTCAGTTGTACGATGTCGTCCGTCGTAGTCTGACTCAAATTACGCGCAGAGGGCTGGGGGGTTATTTTGTTTGTGCATTTCACTTCATTCGATCTTATCTATTGTCCTCGCTTGCCAGGCATCCGGCGTCTTGTACAGAACGTTCTTGTGCCCTTCACCCTGGCCGAATGGGCTTTCAGGAGACGGCTGCGGCTCCGTGAGGCTTGATTGACCCTCTCTGAAGTTTTCTCGGTAAGCTCAGGCCTAGCCATCTCTTCTCTGACGGTTTCTTCTCTGTGCCACGGAGCGGTGTCTCATTTCACAGAAGACAACCATAGAAATAAAATAGCTAAGTTAAATTAAACAGAACTTAACGAAAACAAATGTAGTAAAAACGAAAAGAGATGAAAACACTTATTAAAACTTTTGAATTTTCATCAAATTCATAAAACTGCTTAGTTTGTAGATATGTTAATTTAAATTTACCTCATTTAGGAGACCGAATCATCACAGAAAAGCTGACCACACTGCCGATCAAGGATCAGACTCTGGTAGCAGTTTATTAGACGAATTTATACCCGGAGACGCTCTGGCGTTCCTTAAGAATCGTTTCATCGAACTGGACCACGATTTAGCTGTAAGTGAATAGACCGATTTCTATGAAGCGGTTACGAAATATGATATATGCTCTGCAGAAGGTCTTTCGATGGGCATAAAGACCACGCATGATCAAAAGCTTTAGTCTGAGTAAACCCACTGTCCATCATCAGGGCACATACAGTATGAAGTGAAAAGTGAATGCGCAAGTTGACCACTTTAGCAAAATCACTGAACTATGTTTTTTTGAACACAACAACAATAATATTTGCGAGATCGGCGTTAGGACCGTTTCGCTAGCAAACTATGGCCTCTGGCGATCACGGCGTTGAATTGTTACGAAATCAGTGGGCCTGCCCGAGTAAACTGTTTCGTGGTTTACGTTTGGGCCATCACCGAAAGGGGGTACGGTAATACTTCGTTGCGGATGTTTACAGCTGCAGTGAGAGCATTGGTCTCGTCACATGACCGAACAGAGCAGCTCTGCGCCGGCGTACTGTATCGCTGATAGAGGGTAATCTCTAGTAAATATGGCGATGACCAGCCAAAGCATATGCAAGGTTTTCTAATGCACACCGCAAGAGATAATATGGTCAGTAATCAGGTTCATCTAGTGACTGACCAATATCGACGTTTCGGTTCGTGTCTCGCGGGCTTTCTTCAAAGTAGGTGGGTGGTAAAGTTTTGCGAATTTCGTTTGTCGTCTGTTGCAGTTAATCGATCCGAAGTCAGAAGGCTTTTTGATAAATGAAATTCAAGAAAATCGACTATTCACCTACTGTGAAGAAGGCCCGCGAGACATGAGCCGAAATGGCGGTATTGGTCATTCTCCAGATTGTGCAAATTTTATGAGAAATACGCTGTAGTATGTCAAACATCAAATTCCTTCAGACTGGTTTGTGTGGCGTATTGCAGCACCGCCTTGTTCATAATGCCTGACTGTTGAACCATTTAGTTACCAAGGCACCATTGTATGTGAGCCAGCGCTGTCATTAATTTATCTCACATCGGTTTATTAGCTAGAACAATAAATTACCTTTAACCCTTGATGTTCCAGGTGCCATTATTCCACATATGCTTTCGGGAAACAAAAAATATGAATTCATACATGGACATATGTTAATATATTATGCAATTTTCCAAAATTGCATTTCCCACCATATTACACCACACGCTTTCTCTTACTTGGAAGGGGACATTTAAGTACGTCATGTCTGAATGGTATTGGAGCAACAACGGTGTATCAATAAACGGTTTTTCTTGAACGAGTGCTTTTTAATTGTTTTTGGAAATTATCAGAAGTATAGTTCATCTTTCAAAAAAAGATTATGTATCTTTTAGGCGGTAACAATAACTAGCAGTATGATAGTAAACCCAAAAGATCGGGTCTTATGTTTGTTTATAAATATGCCTGCTGATTGTGGCATATTTGTAGTTGTCCGAACAGACCCTTGTTCGGCCCTGCGTAATGATGCGATGCTGCATCTATGTCCTGCAAATGCTCAAATACCATGGAGCCGTGGCCTGCTTTAATGGTCCCCTAGACGACTGGAAGCAAGGAGACGGTGGTTACGCTGCTTCAATCCGGTATCAGAAACTAAAAAAAGATTAGATCTCTTTTCGGCGGTAACAGTAACTGGCAGTATGCTAGTAAACCCAGAAGATCAGGTCTTATTTTGTTTATATAGTATAGTTCATGGACTTGCATATTTTATTTGCTTATGTTGTTTATCCTGAATGCAACAAACATGATCTTATATTTGCTATTAACCAGAAAAATTGTCAGTCTGCAGATAAAGTTTGAAAACACCGTCAGGGAAGGAAACGGTTAATGTTGGCTAGTTTCCATAAGTTATATGACCATTCGTTGCGCAAAAATTACTTTATTTGACACCTGATTTTGAGATATGCTTTTTCGCTGACGACCACCGCTGATCGATTTCCTTTGTTTCAGAAAATGAACATTATGGTGTCCAGATGTGACCATTATGACGAGGTCCTAGGCCAAGAATTAACTCCATCTCAAAACCGTCCATCAGTTTCTGCGGGTCAACCTGAAACAGGACGTGTGTCATCGCAAAACGTTGTTACCGCTGCCGAAGGCAAGTCAGAAATAGAAGAAGATGTCGGAGATGTGACCATGATCGCCGGTCCTTCAAGACCCGAAGGATTTCAAACGACGAACCCTCCAAGGTCTCCAGCAGAGCCGAGGCAAAAAACTGAGGATGGGGAGGTACCGATAAAGTCACCGCCGACTAATACTGTCAAACCACGGCCATCGCAGTTGATCGTGAGTGACGCAGTTGCTGTCGAACCTGCGGAATATCCTCAAGAGGTAATTCTGCTAAAGCAACGAAATGTTTCAGTTGAGCATGAGGGTTTGCTGCATGACTCTGTATTCTATGAATATTTGACGAACAAAGGCTTATTTTAGAAAGCTGTTTGCGCCTGCGTTTTAGCAGCTTTTGTACGCGCAGTCCTTTTGTTGAATTTTTGGTCAAATTTTGTAAACCCCCAATTATGTACAAATACCGTCCCACTTCTGAACGTGATCCATCGGTATTTTGACTGCCTTCCATACTTTATATTCATGTTAAGTTAAACAGAGTTTACTTCTATAGTATGTAGAACTACCGACCGACCTTCAGCAGTCATACAAAAGGTGAAGCAGAAAACTGAAGTATGAAATAATCAAGAAAAGAACATGCACAACAGGACCATTCATGACATGTTTCATGGAACCACGTTTGTAAGCACTCTAAGGGTTCATTTTTTATGGGACGTAACAGAACGCTTAAAGTTTCAGTTCTGGCATACTGCGCGAATGGCGTAATGGTACAGTGTGTAGAAAGTTGCTTCGATCTCGAAGTCCGGAGGGGCTGAGTTCGATTCGTTCTGCGGACAGTCTTTGTATTTATGACGAATTCTCTTGAGCAAAGAATTTGCCACGAGTTGCTTCAGATCGAGGTTACTCGATCGATCGATCGTTGGACTCAGAATCGAGAGGTCCTGGGTTTGATCACTAGCCGCGGTGCTCGCCCGCCTCTGTTCCTTCTGAGGTTGATAAATGAGTGGGAAGGAAATAGGAGAATTCAGACTATGCTTGTCACGTAGCTGCTGTCGATTCTGCTTTTGAAAATATGGCACTCCTGACTGATGACATGGAAATGGAGCTCAGCACCAACAGCATTAATTTAATGCAAATAAGGGTGCTCGAATGAGTCCATGTGAGTGTAAGTCCATAATCATGAGTGTAAGCAAAGTTGAAATTCAAACGGTTGCTAACTTTCTTTTGTTTTTACCTAAACTAACCAGCCTCCTCAATGATTGAGTTATATCGGAAGGATAGAGGCAAGATTCGGTAGCGATTTCCTTGTGCCCGACTGCTAATTCCGTTGCGCTCCACCTTAACCTTTGACTTAGAACTCGTGGAAGTCGTGTAACTCAGGTGCTAGTCGATCTCTACAATTTTCTAGGCGAAGGCCACCATAATTGCCGCCACGGTCCGTTCGTACGAAAACACCCTGCTTTGAGCAA